AGGTTGATGGCCTCAAGAAGGTTTGAGTATGGATAACGATAAATTCGGAACGACTTAGTTACTTTTTAGGTAAATCTAGGATTGATACATCCCATTACATTTTGTCAACTGCCAGTGAGTGGAGAATGCAAGGGTATTTACCATTTGAAAAGATGCATGCTGCTATCTTCCACAGAATCCTCTTCTCTAACAACTGAACATGGGAAATCCTGGAATTGGTGCTCTTTGTCCCTTACAAAGGCAGCAAGGGAGGGGATTTTAACAAAAATAATAATTGCTATCCTTTGGTAATATTCTTTGAGCATTTCTATACTCATTTGAATTAATCTGATTTTTTTTAAAGGATGATGTCCACTACTTGAGGTGATGTCTAACCAATGGAGAATAATGGTGATTTGGAGATTATAGCTCTATTGATAATATGATTTAAATAATAGTGATGCTACTATAAAAAGTGTGGGAGACTTCCTGGGGTTAGGTACCATGGTTTTAAGAAGAGATAATTAGATAAGGCTCTGGAAAGGGGCCTGTCTTCCATAGCTACAAGCCTTAATCTTAGATATTTGCATGTTCAGGCTTTGTCCAGAAAGACTAATTATTATCTGAATCTCCTCTCAGAGATGAAATTATCTGTCACCTCTAAAATAGCTAAACGTTGTGTTGGTGCAATGAAAATGAAACAACAGCAGATGCAAGTCTGAACACTGCAGCATTTCCTTTTTAATTATGTTTTAATGTAATTTACTGTTGACCAAAATAAAGACTGCAGGTTCAAGCTAAGGATTATTTTGAACAGCATTAATTTCAGCAGCTGCAATCTGAAATATAAAATCAAGGATATCCAGTAATCTACCAAAACTCTTACTTGTCTCTTTATGTACACTCTGGCAACAGGGAAAACATAGAAGGCATAGGCACATTTTCCTAGTGCAGGGTTTCCAAACTCTTTCAGGCTACAGAATGGGTTATTTATAAAAGAAATTCTAAAAGCTCTGACCAAGATGGAAAGTTCTATAATGATGATGATGATGATGATGATGATGATGATAATAATAATAATAATAATAATAATAAAGTTGGAAGGGACCTTGGAGGTCATCTAGTCTAACCCCCTGCTCAGGCAGGAAACCCTATAACATTTCAGACAAGTGGCTGTCCAGTCTCTTCTTAAAAACTTCCAGTGTTGGAGCATTCACTGCTTCTGGAGGCGGTGCTTCTAGGTTGCTTCTCTCCTTGATTAATTTGCATCCGTTGCTTCTTGTCCTGCCTTCAGGCGCTTTGGAGAATAGCTTGACTCCCTCTTCTTTGTGGCAGCCCCTGAGATATTGGAACACTGCTATCATGTCCCCCCCTCGTCCTTCTCTTCGTTAAACTAGACATACCCAATTCCATCAACCTTTCCTTATATGTTTTAGCCTCTAGTCCCCTAATCATCTTTGTTGCTCTTCTCTGTACTCTTTCTAGAGTCTCAGCATCTCTTTTACATCGTGGTAATCAAATCATGGTTCTAATGATTAAAAAAAGGGTTTTCCTTCCCTTTTTGCTCATAGACTCTTGTGGAACCACCTCAGATCCTTGGGGAATGCTAGGATTTGATGGAACACCTTTGTCTCTTTCCCTTCCATCCCAGAGGTGTTGCTCCCAATACAGGAGCAGTTCTGCTTACCCTGCTGAGAACTACCACGATGACCAGAGTCCAAAAAACTGGACTTGCAAGAAAGATATTTCACTCACATTGCCTAAAGGACTGAAGCAGAACTATATTGTTTCAGCCCACATGTGGATTCATTGCCCTCTCTTTTAATTGCCCCACATTGCTATTAAAATACATTTGTGTGTAATTTCATTCATTGGATGAAGAAATAAGAGCCCTTGCTCTTATTTTAAGAGGAAGATGTCTCACAAGGTGGTGGTTGTGGAGGAGAATGAAGAGGCTTCTATGTCATTCCCTCCAATTCTATGTTTAAAAAAAGACACACAAAATACCAAGTTTAAATAGGATCGAGGTTTCTGATCAGTGAGTGCCCTCTAGTGATGCCAAATAATTAAATCCAGCCTTGTAAACTTTAAAAAGAAACCCTTAGTACAGTGATGGCGAACCTTTTAGAGACCGAGTGCCCAAACTGCAACCCAAAACCCACTTATGCATCGTCGGGTGCCGGGTGGGTGTGGCCCATTGGGTGGGTGAGGCCCATTGGGTGGGCATGACTGCGGTGGTAACAGCAGACTGGGTGGGACTAAAAAGTTCAATCAATCAATTCCAACTCTGCGAGATCTTTTTTTTTCCGTGAGAAGTTGAAATTGATTGATTGAACCTTTTTTTTTTTGCATACGGCGGCAGAGGCCTAAAGCGAAAAGGTTTTATAAAACCCAGCTGAAGGCCTGGGACTGGGATGACGGCGCGCATGCCCACAGAGAGGGCTCTGAGTGCCGCCTCTGGTACCCGTGCCATAGGTTCGCCACCACTGCCTTAGTAACTTTATGCTGTATTTTTTTTTTTTTTTTAAAAAAATCACTTTTCAGAAACAGCATTTCTGGACTTATAGTGGTACAAAAAAAATTCTGGTTTTGCTTCCTCAGAATAAACAACAATGCATCCATTCAAATAGACTGATGCTTGTGAGGAGTTTAAGGGGCTGATACATCCTCCTATAGCTGAGCCTGAGGACTCTGAATAGCACAGTCAGTGCTGGTAGCTCTACTCAAACAATAGCCCTAATGTATACATCACCCCAAGCTATTCCCCTGAGCTGGATTGACACACAGGAAGCTATAAAGTTTAAACCATGTGAGTTGTGAACTTTGTGGTGTTTTACTGCATGTGATACTATTGTCCCTTTCAATGGAGTTATCACCAATACAGTTCATGCCTGGAACGCTGCTCATGGCAGCATTTTCATCCTATTGGTTATCCAGAAAAGGCTTCTGGAATGGCTAATGCACATCATATATATGTAATATGGCACGATACTTATTTATTTTATTAATTAAATCTGTTTGCAGCCCATCTTGCCATCAGGCAACCTTGGGTGGCTTATAACATTAAAAGTGGTGAAACCATACATGCATGCACACACACACACACACACACACACACACACACACACACACACAGAGTATAAATATATGTGTGTATGCCTGTATGTGTGAACAGGCTCTTACAAAAGATTAGGAAGATGGGGGAAGATCTCACCCTGGGACCAAAGGGCTGGTGCTATGGCAGAGAAGTCTCTTCTGTACCACCCCAACCAGAATTCCTTGACTGATGGGATCCACAGCCAGCAAGGGTGGGGTCGTCATGTCCCATTGAGGTGAGGTCCCATTCTCAAGTAACCTGGACCCATGCCATGGAAGGCTTTAAAGCTTGCGGAACAATAGTGTAACATGGGTCATTTTAGGGGCCCCAAAAACTGGCCACATCACCACACTTCCAAAAACTGAAACCTCCAAATGCTCTTCAAGGGTAGCCCCATGTGGAGCACATTGCAGTAGTCCAAGTGACTGAGTTCACTGAATCCTGATCTAGGAAAGGCTGCATTATGTTTGTTAGGAAGTTAATGGAGGCCAGACACAGTGATCCAACTAAAGGAGATTTCCAGGTCAGGCAAAATGGTGGCCTGAATTGTTAATTGGCCTAAATATTTTGGAAATACTCCTTTACTGAGGGCTCTCTAAAAACAACAATTAAAAATGCATTAAAAGAAATATGGCAGCTTAGAAATATGCAGTATGTATGTTATATTCATTATCTTAAAAAAGACCAGACTTACTGTACTTTTTTGATATAGAGATAAACATAAATAATAAAACTTCATTTTAAATGAATGATTGAATTGCAAAATAGATCCATGAAAAATGAGTGAGGGAATCAAGAAAATGGGGAAGACTGTTAGCAGGACCTGATGAGATCCTCAAAAAAACAAAAGTGAATGCCAGTTTTCATTTTTTTACCCCCTTTTAATTCATGCCTTTAATTTGTTTTTTTTCTGTCCTTTGTATAATTTTTCCCCCTGAAAGAGAATTGTGTCATCCACATAGCTATGTTTGTATTGATGTAAATTAAAATGTAATAAATCTACCATTCATACTAAAAAAGAAAATATGTTTTTATTTGACTCTTTGTTATTTTGTTAAGAACAGCAGCTATGCATTCAGCCCTGGTAGGCTTCATAAACTTCTCTGTTGATGCCACTCCAGTATCTTTCACACAGAAAAATTGCCCCACTTAGGATTGATGCTATGCTTGTTTTCACCATTAACTTTTGATTCAACTACTGCTCCAAAGGAAATGCTTTAAGAAAGTTTATAATATTTTCTCAGAAGCGAAAGGACAGGAGTTCATGCTGATTTCTGGGGAAAAATTGGTGAACTGAGGATGACTCTGTTACATGCTAAGCCAACTTTGGTGGTGGAATGAAAAGACAGCAAGTAGACCATTTGTTCATAATTCCTATTTGGACAAGGAGAGGACTTGAGATCACCCACAAGTGCTCCAGACGTTTGCTAGTTAACTGTTTTTCACCTATTAGGAATCTTTACAGCTCTGGGTGAATTTCCTGCAATCCTTCATGAAAGAAATTTTAAATACAAGTTTAAAAACTTTTAAAAAAATATTTTGGAATAAACAACAAAGGGTGATTTGAACTTTACTTTTGAAAAGTTACAAACGGGCTAAGTGTCCAGAAGGATTTGAAAGAAGATCTTGGAAATAACTGTAAGAATATTTCCTGTGGGAAGATGCTTTGTTTCAAATTCTTTTTTTTTTAAAGGACATTAAGAGGAACCAAAAGGAATTAAAGATTGCAGTTAAGGAAAAGAACATTTACATTTGACTTTTAATGCAAAATGAAGTAAAACATTTTAACATTAGACATACTGAAGGATATTTTTAAAAATGGACCCAGAAGTTAATTTTAAGAGTGTCTGCTTCTATTGATACACTAAGTTTAAAAGATGTTATAGAAGAGGAATAACATCATTTATTTTTACCATTTTACCAGAAAAGACTGAGACTGATCTGAAAGTGGATTTAAAAGTGGCAGACTATAAGAATAATACGGAAAAAGATGTAGCTGGACATACAGTACAAGTCAAACTGGCTGATATCTTAATAATTAAAGGGAAGATACAAATAACAAATCAGGAGAGTGGCTTGGATAATTCTCCTCTGTTGAATTTACAAAAGAAGATTGTTAAAGGTTTGAAGAATTTTGTAATTAAAAAAGATCAAAAGATTATTTGAAGGGAATAAAGATCAGTTTTACTAGTGAAATTAATGAATGTAAATCTATTCATATAAATAATATTATTTTAATAAAAGTCCATTAATAGACTTTTGCTGATCAGGATGAAGCGACATGGCTTTAAGGATTTGTATATCTATAAGGGTTGGGATATAGAAAGAAGAGATCATTTGTTGTGTTTTTTAAAAGAAAGTAATATTAAAACGGTTTATACTTATGAGGAACAGGAAGTCATTTGTGCATTTTTTTTTCTTTACTACGTTCTTATTTTTCTTTCTATTTTTCTTCCTATATTTTTTTACACTATTTTTCTTTTTTTATTCTTTTAATTTGTATTAGTTTTGATCTTTTTAATTGTAGCTTTTAATAAAGTTCATGTATAAAAATAATGGAGCTGAAGGACAGGCGGGTTCCCATTGGCTAAAAGTCCTTAGATTTCCTTTTTCCCACAGGGATTTTCCTCCTCCTTTCTGAAGGTAAGGCACTTAGTATTTTATCAGAGGTCCTTCATTCTTTAGGAACAATTGGAAAGGTGATGTGGCTTTAGTGCTGTTCTGCCTCATCAGTGGGGGTTTCTCCCCCCCTTTATTACAGAAGAGCTATGTCCCCCCCATTCCTTTGTTAGGCAGCTGGGTGACCTTTTTGTGCTCCTCTTATTTCATTCTCCCAAGCCCCAAAGAGCAGCAAATGGGGATATTAATATGGTAATGTCAATCCACTGCAGAAAAAAAGCAAGCCTAGTGGCTGTATAGAAGTGTACTCAGAGAGTGTATGGGATGCCCCAGCCCCAGAGGATTCTTTAAAAGCTTTGTTTTATCTTAAACCCTCTGGATTAGGGACAGGCAATGTGTGGTCCTCTGATGCAGCTGCCTTTCACTTCCCAGCATCCCTCACCATTGGATCTGCTGGCAGAAGCCTCTCAATTACGATTTCCCATACACGTTCCAGAAAAAGGAGGATAATTTTTGATCTTCTAGTTTTGCAAGGGCAACTTCCTTTTCACATGGTATTCTCTGCGATTAAAGTCACACCCGTGAACTAAAATGGCGAGGCATCTGCCAAGGAACAAATCCCAGTAGGGCCTCAAGAGCACCCCAGATTTCAGAGGAATCATCTCCCCTAGATCAACAGATTCCTCCTCATGGAGGGTCAAGAGCCAGCTTGAACTTCTTGTGTGGTGTGAAGGTCATGCTATAAATATGCATGGAGCCTGGACCCAAAATGGGCTGAATTGAGGGAGTTAAAGGGATAAAAATGGTATTTTATATCCCTTTAATCCCTCCAAACCAAAGCCAATTCTTTTGGATTTGTGTATTCTGGAAGGATTCTGGGAGCTCCAGCTGCCACCTAGTTTAGAGCACCAAATAAGCAAAAGCAGTGCTTTGGCCTTGCCTACTCTACAAGGTTCCGTCCAAAAAAGGTGCCGGAACTCCATTCTGGGCCTTCTATGACAAAAAAAGCCCTGAGCAAAAGTATAGCTTTACTGAGGACAAGCCAATATTTTATAATAGCACCGAGATGAGCCCACCGAGATACTGGGATTCCATAAAGGAGATGCCTGAAGGCATGTTCCCCAAATCTAAGCAGCTCCTGTAATCAGCAACAACTCATATTACTTGTGTGTAATCCAAAACCTGCTCACAGAAGGCAGGAAAATGCAGATCTTAACTTGGACCTGCCATAGGCAGATGGTTGCATGCCTTACCAGGCTGCTGATGGGATGTCTAAATGTTAGTGTTGCTGTACTAGCATATTTGTTTCATAGATCCTCCTATAAGAATTAAATCAGTGTATGTATGTATGTATGTATGTATGTATGAGTGGTGGGATTCAAATATGTGAACAACTGGTTCTCTGTGTGGATGCCGCTTCCGGAAGTCCATTCTGGGCCTGGGCAACAAAAAATTAGCTACCGGTTCTGCCGAAGTGGTGCGAACCGGCTGAATCCCACCACTGGTATGTATGTATGTATATATTTTATACATAGTCTTCAGTGGAGGTTCTTTCTTCCCATGCTTCTAGGGCTTTCTATGGTCTGTCTAGGATATTACCCCTCCATCCTTTTCTGAACAACTGAGCTGCATGCTGGAATATAAGCATTGAATACACAAGCAGAATTGGAAAGTACCACTTTATATCAAAGAAGGGGGGGTCTCTAGTGTACTATCTGCTTGTTGGCCACAGATTGGCTAAGTCTCCCCTCCTCCATTAAGTTTATACATCTCACTAAGTTTCCTTCATTTTGAATTACCACTGTTATATGAACACTCACTCACTGTATTCTGTAGATCATAATTTCTAACAGTATGCGGGAACCCCACTCAATTCTTGCTTATTCGGTAAACCACAGTCAATCAAATAATGCAGACACAATCAGAACTTAATCTCTTGATCTGTTGCTTGAAATATGAAGGAAGCACAATGGCAAGTTTATGACCCCCTTTTAAATCCCACTCGTCTGAAGGGGCCTTAGGCAGCCTATTTGTTCCCATCCGCAGTACAGAGAAATGCCACTGATTTGTCCTAAGGAAAAAAAAAAAGTGTCAGAAACCAATTTTCACTCCTGTATTTTGAGGAAGGGATGCACCAGCAAAACCAAGGATGGGTGAACCTTGGGAAGACGTATCCTTTGCAGGTGATGCGATCCATCCCCTCCGCTCAGCTAAAAATACCGACCCTCTCCGAGCTTAGCGTCTCCGTACCCACACCCTTTTTTCCCCTCCTTCCTCCCGCACCTTCTCCTCCCTGGCCCCACGATGTCGCGGGAAGCAGCAGATCGGGGGGGCTTGTTGCTGTTCGGTCCCCCCCCCTCCACGCCTTTTCTCCTCCCCTGGAAGACCAGCCGCTCGTCTTCACACTGTCAGCAGGAGGAGCTGCGAGGTAAGCCGCCAGACGGAGGTGGGTCTCCCGGGCTGAGATGGGACGGCGCTGACCTCCGCCAATTTCAGCCCGGGATGGGCTCGTGGAAATGCTCGGGACCGAGGAACCAAACCACCAGCAAACGGCGACCTTCGACGGGGCTGCGGGAGAGACACCGCGCGGCCTTTGCCGGACGCCATGCAGAAGCTGCTGCTGCCGTTGCCACAGGATACCTGAACTGACCCTCCAAAATCGCAGCCTGCTCCCTGACGGATCTGCTGGCTTCCTCCAACAACTCTCGCCCCCCGCCCCCGGAGGACGAAGGCAATAAACCCCCCGCGACACAAGAGGTGAGCGAACTACCACTCCGGGGAGAACTCCTGTTTGAAGCAGGCTTCCCGGGACCGCAGGGGTGGGGTGGGTAAGGGAGGGAAACCTCGGGGAAGCTCTCTTTTCAGTCCCGAAGGCTGTCAAACGAAAGAGCCCCCCCGGGTTCCCTTCATCGGATTGGGGCGTTTCTGGGGGGCCACGGATTTCCCCGCATCGCCGAGGCCAGGGAGAGGCTGTGGCTCCCCGATCGGGGGAGCCGTAGCGAGCGGGCTCTGGGCGGACCCAGAATTAAGGGAAAGGTGGCAACAGAAACCCCACGACGAAATCTCTCTCTTTGCTCTTTCGGGAAGGTGTCCGGGCTTCCTGGTGCCGTTTCCGCCCAGCCGCCCTGCTAGAACTTCAATCTTCAATCTGCAAGGCAACAATTATTAGGGGAGGGGGAGAGAGAGAGAGAGAGAGAGAGAGAGAGAGAGAGAGAGAGAGAGAGAGAGAGAGAGAGAGAGAGAGGTGGGGTTGTTTCCCCGCCCCCAACTCGGGTGCATACGATGGGGAGGAGGGCTTAGAACTCCCGACGCAGCCAATCACGACGCCCAGGACAGTGAATGGCAAAGGGGAGGAGGAGGGGGGGGGGAGGCTGAAATTCGCAACCTGCTCAGCCTCCGCTGGACGCCCCTTAGGACTTATTAAGAGCTTCCACTTTTCGCCACCGCTGCAGCAACCATCCCGGCAGACCCGATTTTCCTTTGCGGCGACGCTTCTCCCGCCTTTGGCGGGCATGGAGAGGCAGAGCACAACGGGGATTTATTATTATTATTATTATTATTATTGCAGAAAACCCCACTTGATTCTTTTGCCTGTCCTTTGTAACTCTCTACTTTTATTGCAGATTCTGGAGGGAGCCAGACCATGGTGGATCCCGTAGCGGATCCTGGCAAGGAAGCATGCCCCGATCCTGGGAGGGCCGCGGGGGGAGAAGAGGCTGCGGCAGCCGCTACCTCCGCCACGGCCGAGGCTGCAGTTCAGCCGCCCGCACCCCCTCCGGCAGCGGCGCCTCCTCCTCCTCCTCCAGCCGGAGACCCGGAGAAAACTCGCGAAGAGTCGCCGATGCTGCACCTGGATCTGTACAACTTCGACTGCCCGGAAGCCCAAGGCAGCCGCTACGTGCTCACCAGTCCCCGCTCCCTTGAAGCCTGCGCTCGATGTGCCGTCAAGCCGGTGGAGCTGCTGACCCGGCCGCTCAACGAGCTGATCAAGGAGGCTCCCGGCAGGTCTATGCGCGTCGCCGCCGGCCTCTATGAGGCCTACGAGATGGATCGGCAGAGGAAGCTGCAGCAGTGCCGGGAGGAAAGGGAGAGGATAATCCGAGAGGAGAAGCGGAGGCTTTTCACGCCTGTCCTGACCGGAAGCCTGCCTTCCTCCCCGGCCTCCAGGGCGGCCTTCAAAAGCACTCTGCCCGATGGGAGCTGCCCTCCGGCCGGCAAGCCCAAAGCGGCTGGAGGGCCCCCACCTCCTCCCCTGAGTGGCCCCAAGACCAAGAAGAGCCACTCCCTGGATTCCCTGCAAAAGAGGAGAGAGGGCTTCTCCACCAAGACCTCCTCCGACTCAGGGGCCTCTTCTTCCTACAGCGGAGACAGTGGCAGGGACAAATGCCTGCCTAGGACTAAGAGCGTGGCCACCATGACCTCCCTGGTGGGTCGCAGTTTCAGCCTGAGCGACCTGAGCCACTCCCCACAAACCACCCAGAAAGTGGAGAGGATTGTCAGGGAAGTGAAGCAGAAGAAAGGCTTCAAGGAGGTGTCTGAGAGGGACCGAAAAATTGCCGCCCTGATGATAGCGAAGCACCAAGAGCAGAGCCTGTGGAAGGAGCAGCAGTACAGCGCCCACCTCCAGTGGGATGTGCAGAGGAGGGTGGCGGAGCGGAGGAGGGAGCAGGAGGAGCGGGAAAAGCAGCTGGCTTTGCTGCAGGGCCACCGGATGTGGGAATCCCGGCTGGAGAAGCGACGTGGCCGGCTGACCCATTCTTGGGAAGAGGCTGCCCAGGTGAAGCAAAGGCAGACCTTGATGGAGGACGAGAAGTGGCGGGAACACGTGGAGAAGCAGGAGCGCGTGAGGAGGGAGAGGCTGGAGAAGGCTGCTCTGGAGGACAAGAAGAGGAAACGCCACCAAGAGCACAACCTGAAAGCTCAGGAAGAAAGCAAGAAAGAAGCCCAGGTGCGAGAGGTGCAGCTGCTGCAAGAAAAGCTCACCTTGGCAGCCCAGAAGAAGCTTATGAAGGAACAGCTGATTCAGAAGGAGAAGAAGCTGCTCAATCAAGCTGACAAGCAGAAACACAAGGCCATTCTCAAGGGACTGGCTAAGCAGGAGACCCAAGAGAGGGCAGTGCTGAGGGCCACCATGGAAGGGAGCCTGAGCAAAGCTCAAGAGAACTATGAGCAGGTCATTGAGAAAAGGAACCAGGAACTGAGAGAGAGAGCCAAACGGGAAGACCTACAGATCCAGAGGGCCAAGCTGACAGCAGAGCGCAAAGACCGGGAACAGAAGGAGCACGTAAGAGCCTTAGCTCAAGCTTCGGAGAGGAAGCTCCAACATGCCACTCAGGTGGCCGAGGAAGTTGTCCAGCAGAAAGCTCGAAAGGTGGTGCAGAACCGGCTGGAGAAGGAGAAGGTGCAGAAAGTAAACAAGAGGAAAGTCGAGGAGTGTGAAGATATCCGCCGGAGGGAGATCCTGTTGTCTATTGAGAAAAAGCTGGAGCGAAGTGAACAGATTTGTAAGGAGAAAAAAAATGTCTTAGAAAATGCAAGGTCTGTGGCTCGGGCCTCATTCCACGTGAGGGAAAAAGTCCGGGAAGAGATGAACATCCGTACCTTTGACAAGATGGCTTTTGAGGCAGAACTGCAGGCCAGCCTCGTTAAAAAATGAATTGTCTTTTTTTATTTGGGATTCAATGGGGATTTCTGTTTTGCTGCCTATTGTCAGAATTGGGAGATTAAAAAAAAACAACAAACCAACACTTTATTATTTTATGGAGCACAAAAACATGGGCATATGCTTCATAGACCTTTTTCAAATGCTCTTGTTATACGTATTCAAAAAAATGCAACTATCTATACAAAGAAAATATGTATCCCTCTGTTGAATAAAATACTGTTTCCATGGAATAAAATCAAGATAGGTACATTTTATATAAGAACTTTCCCCTCCTCAAGGGCCATTTCAGTTCCCTCAAATTCTAATGAAGTATTATCATATTGATATATCTGAGTCTTAATTTGAATGTCACTCTGCAGTAGAACTTTTGGTCTCATATGTGTCCATATTTGAAAAGAGTTTATCTGGTGCACTTTATTTATCCTTGTTGTTGGAAACTCTAGGCCTTGTAACTTTTTAATAACAAAACTGAAATTCTGATTCACAACATGAAAGCATGTGGAAAAACTTGTTCCAATAAAATTGCAAATGTGTAGAAAGTGTCATTTATACAGTCCCTTTCATTAATTATTATTTATTTATGTATTAATCCATTTAATATAGCTGTCCATCTCTCCAAAGAAACTCTGAGTAACAAAGGGGGAAAAAAAACCAAGGTTTTCCATTAAAACCAAATGAAAACAAAATAAGTGAAGATCCAATTAAATTTCCATAATCAATCACATGGACCAATGCCTGAGCTCCATAATATCCTGGCTTCAATAGCTGGGGGAAGACCCAGGTCTTCATGGTCTACATTTCACAAGATTCACAATGCAAAGAGTAAGTCTTGTATTTATTATTATCAGTAGTGATGTATGTGAATAGTTATCCCAACTTACTGGGTCAACTTGAAAACATCTTGTTGCATACAAATGTGCTCCAAGTATAGTGTACTTGGATAATAAGAGGACACTCATTTTTGGATAGAAAATAAGTACAACACTGCAGGGAAAGGTCTATGAAAATCCTATAGATTAATAATATACATTCATCAGCTCAACACTGTATAATTGATTGCACCTGTATGTCAAGGATGTCTCAATTGATGCTAATAACAAAATGTAGTAATATGTCTTGGAATTGGTATGTTTTGTAGTATTCCTGCTCAACAGGCAAGCACAATTTATTACTTGTGGAATATCCTTAATGATGTCTAACCCTATGAGAACTCTTCTATGCAGAAATAAATCACATTTATTCTCTGCTTAGCTGTTAAAATCAGAACATCTCACTATGCAAATGGTGTCTTGTAAGTCGGTGGTTCAGAAGATGTCTATGGAGATTCTCAGTCATCCAGGACATACTTATCCCAAAGATGCCTTTTTTTCACGAGGCAACTGGACTTCCTTGTTTTTCTTTGAAGATGTTTCACTTCTCATCCAAGAAGCTTCTTCAGCTCTGACTGGATGGTGGGGATTGGGTTCAGAAGATGTTTGCTTTAAAAGCTCCAGGGCAGGCCCCATTTTTAAATACGGCAACGATTTAGGCACCAGATGCTGGAAGCGAGGTGAGAATGAACCAGCACTGAAGTATTGGAAAACAGGGCTGGTTGTGTTATCTGGAAGCAAGGTGCTGCTTTCCTGCTGCCAGTGTGAAAATAATCTCCAGCTGCCAGTCCTATTGGCCTCTGTATATGGATATGGGAGGATAAAACAATCTTGTCCTGGATTTAAAGATAAGCATCCTAGTATGGTTTTAAAAATGGCTATTATGAAATGGATAATGTTGCAAGCAAAATTCCTTTAAAAGTTGACAGATGTATCAAAAACCTCTGCCTTTCTGCCCTTCTTAGCAAATGGAATTTTCTGGGTCATGTGGCTATACCGTGAAACTTTATATGCCAGATACACCTTTTGTAAAAAAGGAAGTTTCTTGAATGGTATCTTTGAAATATTTTTATTGTGTTGCTTAAAGGGGATGATAGTCATGATATGGCATTTGATAGTATTCACAGAAAATGTGGGGGTTTCAGAATGTGTAAATTTGCAATTTTGCTGAATGCATTCAAAATATTAATGATCGCAAAAGGCAGATTTACCTGGAGTAGCTTATATCCTGTGACAGTATCTTGAACACCATCAAATAACAACATTTGCTTATTCCAGGTAATTGGGAAGGACTCGTTAGAGGGATTAAAATTCCAAATCCAGTCTAAATATCTGGCTGACTGGTCAATGAGCCATAATGGATAAGGTTTACTGGTTTTAAATTCCTAAACTTGGACCCAAAGTGCATATTACCTGCTGGAAACTGCACTAAGCAATCAAAAATGAATCATGTAAACCAGGGTCCCCAACCCCCAGTGTGTAGACTGGTACTGGGCCCCGGCATGCCAGCAACTGGGCCGCACAAACAAACAAAGCCCCATTCGTGGGATGCAGGCAGCACACAAAACCACGCAATCTCTGGTCCGTGGAAAAATCTTTCTCCATGGAACCGGTCCCTGGTGCCCAAAAGGTTGGGGACCTCTGATGTAAACTACATTGACTAACATAACTTTAATTCAATTTCATTTAATTCAGTTTAAATGCTAAGTCAAATTTACATTTAATTGAAGAGTGGTCCTTAAGTATGCCATTAAAGATCAAGATAAGCCTTATACTGAAAAAGGAAATGTTTCTTAGAACATGAACATTCTAGCTGGTCAGAATATTGCAAGTTCATGGGGATGCATGTACAGTATAAATAAAATCTGGTGGGGCACTTGAAGTCAGACTGTTGTAGAGGTTTCTATTTCAACCTCCTCTTCTCCAGATACTTTGACCTCATTTTCCAAAATACCTAGTCGGTATGAGAAACACAATAGTTGAGAATTGTGAGAGCCGAAGTCTAACATACCCAGAGGGCACCATGCTACAAAAAAAGCATTATTTTATAGAAGAAATTCTGTTACAGGTAGGCAAAATTTCATTCACAACTCTGCATCCATGGAAAGAATTTGTGGGCTTCCCTCATGTGCTTTTTCATCTACCCACAACTAAAACTCATATGTGCGTTTGATATTTTACTTTTGGGACAATCTGACCTCCACCCCCCACCCCCCACCCCCATATGGTTGCCCTTAAACCTGCAGTCTTTAGAAAGGCAGTCAAGACCTGGCTCTTTTCCCAGGTTGTGGGGTCTGGATGAGTGAAGTCCCAGATGGTTGAGCAGCAGTATATTTTAATCTGGTCACCATGTTACAGTTTACTCCAGTGATGGCGAACCTTTTAGAGACCGAGTGCTCAAAAAACGTCCCACCCCCACCCTGCATCCTGCCCCTGCTCTGCCCCCCGCCCTGCCACCTGCCCTCAGGGCCACCCACCACCTCCACGGCCCACTGCAGATCACCCAGGCGGCCCAGCAGCACCATGGCTGCCATGTCCTCCGCCTGCGCCCTACAGCATCATCTGCGTATGACGGGGCGCGAGGGCGGAGTCTTGCCTGGCTGCCATGTCCTTGGTTGTGCTGCTCCAGATGGTCCGCACCCAGGGGCAACTCTCCGGGGGGGCTGCTGGTGAGGAGGGGGCTGCGGGAGGAGGTGGGGCTGGGACAATGGCACGCGTGCCCACAGAGAGGGCTCTGAGTGCCGCCTCTGGCACGCGTGCCATAGGTTTGCCACCACTGGTTTACTCTATTAGTTGTCTTTTAATGGATTTTTTTTTGGGCCTAGGTTTGGTTTATGGTGATTTCACATTGAAACTAAATGGATATTATATTTTTGCTTTGTTTTTTATTGGTTTCCTTTGCTTCTTTGAGTTTAGGACCATTTAATGCCTATTTTAGTGTTATGTACCATGTTTTATCAACTGTTCCCCCCTCCCTCCGAATGGCATTGATGCTGGCAGAATGTAAAATGATTACTAAATTAATCATCCTAGCTGATGTAACCTCCCCCAGAGAGACTTATAAACAGAGCATCCAGATTATTTCTATTCTCTTATTTTGCCATCTGCTTTGTGAAACTATGCAGGACAGTGAAAGTGTAAAGATTTACAATATTGAGGCTTTTCAAAACCTTCTTTATTCCTTGTTAATTTTCCTCTTTTCCTACCTACCATCCATAGTCATTTTGTTTGAGTTGAATAGCCACATTAAACAAAAACCCATATTTTAGGAATATTGTTTAACATCACATTTACATCTTTAACTATTACTGTTCTTTCCAAAATTATATTAACTTACGTGAATTTAACATGAAACCCAAACCAATCTAATAAGAACCATTTAAAGTTAAAGAGCTCCCAAATTTTTTACAAGGCCAGGACAAAATATCTGATATTCAATTTTTTTTGACACCGCCGCACATTACCCACACACAAATACACACTAGTGTTTTTATCCTGCGGCATGAAAAGCAATAATATGCCACAAAAAACCTTTAGGTGATATATCCATCCTTTGGCTTTTCTTCTGAAAATAACAATGATTAGTTCTAATAAGTAATGATATACGACACTCAGAGTCACTTGTTGTGATGGGCAGTTATAGAAATCAAATAAAGAAATAAATATAAATAATTATCTGAAAGGCTATATTTATTTATTTATTTTTAAAAAAGATACCTATAACTGTCTGGTCTGTATCATTTATTCCAGCAGTCTCCAACTTTTTCCAGCTTGGCAGATCGGTGGCAGGGGAGGAGATGGGATGGTTCCGTGTGAGTGGCTGTGCGCACACATATTCACCTGGCACTTGTATGACCAGGGGGTTGGGTACCCCTGATTTATTCATTTAAACTGATACATCTTTCACCCAAAGAACTAAAAGGTAGTATTTGCTAATAGGCCCCCCCCTCCCCCACACCATCTATGAACGATGCCTATGGAGCTTCTCAGTTATCCAGGTCATAATTGTCTCAAAGATGCTTTTTCACGAGGCAACTGACTTGTTTTTCTTTGTTTCACGTCTCATCCAAGAAGCTTCTTCAGCTCTGACTAGATTGTGGGGAATAGCAGGATTTATACTCCTTGCAGACAGCTGGTCATTTGCATTCTTTTAGCAAATCGTTGAGGCCACCTGTTGTCAGGGTCACCTGAGTAGTGCAAATATGGAGCCTTCTTGGAAAAGACTGTGTTACAGACTGGAGATAGATGATGTCGTATCTCTCCCCCTCTGCTGAGAGAGGGCTGTTCAATTTTGACATAGATGGCCTCTTTGACCCCTCTTTCAAACCAGCGGTCTTCTCTGCCCAGAATGTGGACTTTGCTGTCTTTAAAAGAGTAGACTTTGTCTTTCAAATGCTGATGGCCTGCTGAATCTTGTCCTGATGGGTTTGTTCTCCTATGTTGTGCCATGCATTTATGAACAAAACCACCACAACAAAACAACTACTTCATAAACACATGGCACAAGATAGGAGACCAAACTCATCAGGACAAGGTTCAGCAGGCCATCAGCATTTGAAAGACAAAGTCCACTCTTTTGAAGACAGCAAAGTCCACATTCTGGACAGAGAGGACTGCTGGTTTGAATGAGGGGTCAAAG